TGGAAATATAGTGACATACAGGAAGGCCCAATATGTAGCTAAATTCCTCCTCAGCAGGGAAAATTTCCTCACGGGGTAACCTAAAACCAATAAAACCCACTAAGAGACCCTCCTAGGCCCAGTGATGACCTCCTGAATCATTTCCACATCTGGTCCCAGGCACCAGATTCCATGGGTTTTTCTCAATAGGAGAAAGCATTCACAAGGCCCTGGAATTCTATGAAATGGCCTGGAACCTAGGTCATACATGTATTGCCTATGGGCAATAGTCACTGATTTTCCTAGTCAGGCCTTAAACACCATCCACAAGAATTCACCAGATAGTAGCACTGACCTACTTTCTACCTCATCCAGAATTAGGGGTTATCTTGCCCTTATTTGGGATCTATAGGAATGCAGGGCCAGGGATAGGGATCAGAAATCTTTCCAAAACAACAGGCCAATTTACTAACCTCTTATGTGCTAGGCAATCTGGTGGGGAAGGGGTTGCAGACCATCAAACCTTACTGAGTAAGCAAAGATGAAAGGGTTGTGAGAAGTCTTAGAAACAACAGGGAAAGGTACATACAAGCATCTGCTAAATGGAGGATGAAACTGTCCTTCAAGCTATGTGGCTCAAATGGTTTTAGGGTCAAAGTGTAAGGGGCAAGGGTTCAGGACTTCTGGGGTCTAGTGACTAGGTCTGTTTCTGGTCATTTCTAATACTTGATGTTTTTTCTGTAGAGAATCCTATACCTCCCAAGTTAGCTTTAGCAACAATTATTATTTAACACTGCACTAGATGGGGTTAAGAGGAAAGGGGGCTTCTTAGGTGGTCTAGAGTCAAGACCACCTTCAGCACACAGATCTGTCAATAGATTGGTTTTATTAGTTTAATGGTCTCCTCTCCATGGTGCTCTGAACCTCACTGCTCAGGGCGCTCCTTCAAAGCCAGCCCACTCCACAACTAGCCCACCCTTTAGACTGAGTTCTCGGTAAAGCCTCTTTCATCCTCACTGTCTTGAGTTGGGGGTATGGGATCTCAGTCATAGACTGCAATTGCACAGCGGAAGGAAAAGAGGAAGGGACATCTGCTCACCTGCTGCCACCCCGCCGTGGGGAATCCTATTCTAGAGACATGTCCCAACTTAACCCCTCTTCTCAAAGTTCGGGAGGACTTGGATTTGGGGAGAGGGCATTTATCCAGCCTTAAGTCCCCTTAACTGGAGCTGACTCTAGGGAGGTCACAGTCCTGGCACACATGATTGGGGGTAAGCAGGAGAGACTCTGGAAAATCCCCCTCCCAGAAGTAGCCTGGCAAGTAGGGTAAGGGCTATGATCCCGCACAAGAGGTTCTTTAAGCAGCACCTCAGACCCTTCGCGGGGAGGATAAACCAGAAGGATGATGGGGGCAGGGTTGGGGTATTAGGAGGCCAGGGCTCAGCTACCCCTGGCCAGGAGAACAAAAGCTGAGTTGCAGCCGCCTCCGCTGCTGCCGCGGGCCGAGCTCTTTGTGACACTTTGTTTGGGACGCAGAGAGGGAAGCACTCCCCATCTTCTCCCCTCCCCCACCCCTTTACCCCAGCTCTAAAGAGTTTGGGTCTCCTCCTTCCCCCACCAGCACTACCTGGCCCGAGGGGCGCTCACCCACTCGGCCCCTTTGCGCCGCCGCCCGGAGCCCTCAGGCCCCTCGCGCCCTCCCTCCGGGCCCCTACAAAGACGCCCACCCCCCCTTCTGCTGGCCCTTCCCGTTTGGTGTCTGCCCCCCCCAGCTTTTCCACCTGGCCCCCACCTCCATGGGCCCCCCCCCAGCTCTCCAGGCTTCTGGGGCCGCCGCCCCCACCGCGCCCCCCCAGGAGCTCTGGGCGAAGTTTGCTTGGGGCCGAGCCGGCGCCCCTCCCCCGCCCCCGCCCCC